CTCTCAGGAAGCTGACACTTCGCTGGTGTCCTCTCTCAGGAAGCTGACACTTCGCTGGTGTCCTCTCTCAGGAAGCTGACACTTCGCTGGTGCCCTTTCTCAGAAAACCGCAACCTAACTTATGTCTTCTCTCGGAAAGGTCTTACCTCGCTAAAGCCCTCCCATGGTGAACTGCAATATGACCTGGCTGATAATCTCCGAAAGCTTCAACCTCTCTTGAGCAGTTGCATTTCTTTGATGTACCTGCTATGCAAAATGTCGCTGTCTCCTGTTCTGAAAAAAAAACATTAGAAAATGAGCATATCTGTGTATAGAAATTAGCCAGCTGTTGACCTTTGTTTAAATTACAAGATGCAGCCGTTCTATCAAAACCTCTCAGTTAACAGTTACCAAAAATATCAATAGTAGCATTATCTATAGTTTTGTATTGCTAATCTATAGTTTCATTTTACCGTGTGATTTTTTAGATTTATGCTACACATTAAAGTGAACCCACATTATCTCTTGGATTTCGTCAGTGGGTGTGGGGATGCATTGTCGTTTTGAATTTCGGTTTAATCGGTTTGACTGATTTTGTTTCAAGTTTTCTGATAATAAAACATATATGAGGATTAAAAAAAGATTTTATATGCAATTGTTGACTACTATAGTTTATCAGATCGAATTTTAATGATGTCAGATTGTACAGGCCGCCATCTCTGCTGACGAAGGGTTTAACCCTATTCAGAAGAATATTATTATTATCATTATTATTATTATGATCATCATCATCATTATTATTATTAATAGAAGAACCCTATTCAGACAGGGGGGGGGGCTTTTGAGGCCCACGCCCACTTTCATCTCAGATAGCGCCAAAACGGCTTGCGCTAGAAGCGTCAAATTTGGTGACTTTTCCTAAAAAACATCTGACAGCAATTTCATATTAATTAGATAAATTCCTAATATTTTGTGTTGCCATCGCAACGGGTTTCTGACAGGCAGTTTCTGTAAGTTTTACTGAAAAAAAGACTTTTTACGGTTTTACCCCAAAATAGCATATTAATGACGTCATAATGACGTCATATGACGTCTTAATTACACAAAAAAATTTTTATGAACTAATTTCATTACTACACCATTCTCTATAAATTTGGTGGCCCTACGATAAGTGCTTGTTGAGTTACAGGGGCGGGCCTCAAAAGCCCCCCCCCCCCGGAACCTCAATTTCCAATCCAAGCCAGCCTAGCGGGGACCAATAGGCGGGCAGTATTTCGACCACACCCACAACCCGCGCTTTAGCAAGATATGGTTGAAAGAGATGTTTATTAAACTTGTTCAAAAGGTTGTTTTCTGAAATTCTGCGTCTTTGAATAGTTGGAGCAAAATAACTACCGAGCCGAGTTAAACCAATATCGGCACTGGGCTTCTGGTGCTTACGTCGGCCGCGCGGCGTACAGAACAGTATCTTAGACCAAGTCTTTGTCTGTGAAAATGTAAGAAAAGAGGCCGTGCAGTCCTGTCCTGCCGATCACCTTGTTGTCCCGATTAAACTTTGTTCCCCAGGCGGTATGACCTCTAAAATATGAGCAGCAGCATCTCGATACCCTTTTTAAAGACAACGAAGGTTTAATAATAATTTGCCGATTTCGAGTTACAGTGCTGAAGCCGCCGACACTGGACACCAAGTGTTGACGTAACTTCGGCACTGGAGATATAGGACGGAAGCCGCCTCACCTCTGTATACCGAGTGCTGAGAAAGGAACCCGTTACTTCGGTACTTGTAATTATGTTCACCCCAAATACAGCAATTTTTACATTGTTTATCTGACATTTCCAACTCAGATTACCTACCGCGCCGTACGGAAGAATGCTGTTCAACCCCATTGTCGAATGGAATCGCCCGCAAAGTGGGCGTGGCACGGAATGCTGGTCACCCATTGGTCGCCCCTAGGCTATGTGGATGCGAAATTGATGTAGGCCCCCCCCCCCAAAATCAAAATTTCTAATCTCGGTCTTTGTGTAGTGATATTGCCCCCGTTCTGGCAGATGAGTGAGTTGGGACACCATAAATCGGGCCCGGTCTAGGCTGAATCAAGGTGAATGGATTGCCCCACGACTAGGAAGCCAGTATCCACAGCATGTTCCTCTATCGCCATGGCTCAGTGGCGCGCTCGGAACTCGCTGATCGGCTTCACCTATCGCCTTGCAGGCCCTCTTACATACATGTACATGAGTGTTTATCATGGGTCCTGGCATGTTCTAAATGCTGTAGAATGTTCTCTGCTTAAGATTTCTATACTTCTATTCTCAGAACCATCATTGAGAAACAGAACAGTGCCGGGCAGACCATTTTTGCCCTGACTGTGTCGACTAATCAGCTGACTCTGGACTACCTGACATCGAGCGGTGCACGACAGCTGGTGCAGAACCAGAACCCCTTCAGTACTAACAGGTGGTACCAGCTGGTCTTACAGGTACGGATGCTTCCTCCCTGGTTGGTTTGTCAGTCAACACTGTAACTAACGCCGTAATGGCTAACCCTATCAGACATTTAATGCAAGAGACTGAAAATTGGAAGATGGACTTTTGCAGACGAGGTTATGACTGCCATTATGACTCGTCCACGTAGAAAGCCTAGGTGGCACTCTGTCAGAGTACATTCAGGGACAAATATAGCACAGGCAATTGACCCGCCCTAAAACCTGTCAACATAGTTTGACATGTGAAGCTGACTTGTAGGCAGAATGGCATGCAATCAAGTTGTGTGTAAACCCCTGGGACAAGTGGTGCCCCTTGGTTTAACTACTGGGATATAAACGTTTATCATGCACAGATTGCTGGTGGCCTGTATCATAACATGCATATAAACAGGTGCTTATTTAATATCTATTTTTCTGCACTGTTTCAGACATACATTTTTCATGACCATAAAGATTACTGTGTAACTCAGTTTGTACCTGTAAAGAGTAAAGATGAATTCTTTGATGACAATGATGGTCACTGCCAGAGACATTGCCGAGTAATTGTGAAGAAAGCAATCGCCATACAGATTTTCTTCTGCTGTTGTTACAGGTGTATGAAACTCGCCTGAGCATCTTTATTGACGGGACAGAGAGTGACGGCACACCATACACTACCCTGGATCTGCAGGGTCAGATTACAGACGAGTCCTCTGGTACATCCTCTAGGATAGGACTCAAACTGGACGGTAAGCAGAATAATAATCTATTAAGTCTTGTCTATGACATAACACCAATTGTCCTGCGGGACCCATATATATACAGTATAGGGGTTGCACATACAGTACCATCTATATTGTGCCCTGTATATGTACGATTTTGGGGTATTTCTGGTGCAACGCATCACACCGCAGTGAAACACAACGAATGTGGAAGTAAATATGCCATCACAGGGTAAAAAAAGTTGGGGTCTATGACCTGATTATTAAGACATGAAATTATTGAAAAATATTGTGTAATAAATGCCAGCAGGACAAGGATTAATGATAACCGTTAATAAGGTCTATGTTTTGTTTCCTGCAGGCACTCAGCAGTTCGTAGGACGACTACAGGAGCTGTGGTTCTACAATGTTGCACTTACCAACAGGTTAGGCCGAGCCACAATTTGAATAGATTCAAGACACAATAAAATTATACAAATGAAGATGCAAATTTGCACCAAATTCAGTCATAGTAATCAATATACTAGCTACATGATTGTAAACATTGGGCTTAAAACAGTAGTTGATGACAACACCGATAACTGCATGATACATTTCCTTGTTGA